GAGTGACCTACTGCCACAGAGCTAGTTCAATCACTGAACAATAGTTACTGTTACAAGGCTTTCCTTTGTACAAAGTAACATTAGTATCATTGCTTTGCATTAACCATGGAACTTGCACTGGGGACTGACAGAGACAGAGAGAGGAGAGAGAGAGAGAGAGAGAGAGAGAGAGAGAGAGGCGGAGAGGGAGAGAGAGGAGGAGGAGAAGGAGAAGAAGAAACTGTGAAGGGAGTAACTTTTGTAGTATTAGCATTTAGACTGGAGATATTTAACAATGTAATTGATCTCAACCTATCTGCACATACTCTGTGCTTCTTTTTGTCCCTAAAATATTTTAAGAGCCCCTACCAAGAAGCAGTACATCCCTACTCCGAAATTCACACATAAATACAAGCTAAAAGCCAATCAGAAAGTAACAATAAAAACGTACCTGGTAAACAACTAACTTTTAATTCAAAGGATACTAAGCAATAAAGGGCCTAGAATGAACATCCCAATTAGCCAATGTAGTGACAAGCAGTCAACACCTTATTATTTAATCATTAAAGAGAATCTTGCCATAATTTCCCTTTGACATATTTCAAAAAAAATTAAGAGTACACCACATGACCCACAACAACAATCAAAAGGAAAGGTAGATAATTCTAAGACCCTATGGCTGGCGAGGCCTCTGGACTGAGAGGTTGCAGGATTAAGGCATTAAGTGGGACCCAATGAAGTATTTACAATTTAAATAAGATGTATTCAAGTGTAAGCATTTAGAAACAAACTACCTGATAATGGGGCCATTTTCATGTTTCCCCGATGTTTCTGTCCAGTTTTCTTATTGGGTGAAAATAATTGTCTGTATTTCCAATATTAGTAAATATCTGATGGCCTCATCTATTTTTTTTCTTAAACAGCAGATTCAATTAATCAAGGACATTAGACTTCCCTCGCCTTCCCATCCTCATCCCAGGCCATAACACCTCTCCAAAACAGAAAGCTTAAATCTCCCTTAGAAGCACCCGACTCCACTTTGCATGGGGGGGGGGGGGGGGGGGGGGTTCAGTCAAACACAAGTTCACTTTTAAGAATTTTTAACTCAAACTATGCTTCGGAAACACCATTCCGGACTTCTAAAATAAAACAATCGCCATCAGGGTTCCCTGGCCCACTTGGGGAACCCAAACTCACTGACCCAGGGCTGTCCGGGATCCCGGAGGCCCGGAGACCGGGCTCTCTCCAGCCTGGGCCACACAGCCCGGGCAGCCGTCGCCCCTCCCCTGGGGTCTCACCAGCACTTGGCATTTAACCTGCCTGGCGAGCATGGCTTTCTGGTTCCGTCTCCGAGAGCTATATTACTTCTCCCCAGATGTCAGAGACAAATCTGGATTAACATGCAACAGGGCGCCCTGTGCAGCCCGCCAGCCCTCTCCCAAGAGTTGTTACATGCAGATTCAGCCAAGGATCCCCCCCTAGAGCTGCTGTTGAATAAAAAAAAATGTAATCCAAAGGGACCATTTCTTTGCTTCCCGCTGCTTGTGGGAGAACCGGGGTTGGCTTCTGAGCACAAGCTCAGCTAGTCCCCGCTCGCTGCGAGCAGGCCGGCCACCCGGGAGGTGGCCTTTGGGAGCCGGAGACTATTCGCTCCTGTCCCTCCTCCTCCCTTCCGCTCTAGGGAGTGGAACATGCTTCGATTCAAGGGGTGACAAGCAACAGACAGCCCTGGGAAGGAAGGCTTTATTCCACGGCTCCTTCCTGGAGGGTGGCCTGGGGTCTGGCCGGCCAGGCTCTTCCCCGCCTAACCCCTCTGGGTGTCCCCAATTCAACCGTGGGCCCCCCAAACACGCGCCCCGCCTCCCCGGGACCTCGGTCCTTTTCCACCGCTAAGCAGGCTTAGTCCTTGCCCAGACGCCTCGCACTTGGGTCCTCCGCTGCGCCCACTCCAGGGTCCCGACCCTGGCCCCACGCCGATACCCAAAAGCCCCAGGGACCCCTCGCTGCCTGGTCTTTGGACTTCAGGAGCGTCAGTGAGGAGGCCGCGAGTTTGGCTGTCGGGAGAGGGCGCCCGGGAGGGCTGCGCCGGCGAGGACCTCAGGGTCTGCGACTGGGAGTGAGTGGAGGGCAGGGGGTTGAGGGGGACGGGGTTACGGCTTCTACTGGAGTCTTACTCTGATAAACATACAAAATAAAAATAAAAAACCAACACCACCACAAGGCCAAGAGCGTTTCCGCCGACTTAGCCCTCCGGGAAACCGGCTGGTATCAAAGTCGTCGATCTCAGGTCCCCGTGCGGGTGGCAGCCTTCGCGCCCTCCGAGAAAAAAAGTAAAATAAAATAAACGGTGCAGCCGGCAGGCCCTAGAGACAGAGGGGTTAATGAGCTAACGAGGCCCGGCGCTCGCGCCACACCTGAAGCATCCAGGCCCGGAGGAGCGCACCCTCTGCCGAGGCTCAAACTGGCTGGCAGCTTTCGCGGGCAGGTGGCAAAGGCCGTCCTTCCAAGGCCTTGCCCCCAGGGCGCCGCACTAGGAGGCCAGCACCCCCCCCCCGGGGACCCCTAAGCAGGTTCCAGTCTGGAGAACTGGCGCCCACCGGCAGCCATAGTGCCTTGTCTCTCGTCCCCACCTCCCAGGACAGGGGACTCGACTCCGTGTCCCAGGCACAGTCCCGCATGCATCCAGCGCTCTGCGCTCCCGGCTCCAAAGGCAGCTCCTGGCTCGGGGGAATCGGTCAATTAGAAAGAACAAACTTGGGTTTGTTGCTCTCCGACCAACTGAGACCTAGGTGAGCCCGAGGGGTGACGCGAGCACGCCCACGCGCACAGGCCAACAGCGCCGCCAGCTCAAAGCTGTGAAGCCCCCTCAGCAGCAGCGGGGGTGGGAGGAACGCATCTCGTTTTACAGGTGGGGGAGGAAAATAAAATGCACATTTTTAACCAATAGACGTGCCTACCAATCTACACATCTCAAATTAAGGTAACTGGGTAAAAGTTGACCGAAGGAGTAGGGGGGAAGAACTCAATTATGTAATATCAATGTTGTATCCCCCCAAAATACCCCATAACTTTGGTCCTTTATCTTTGACTTTAATAAAATAATGATTCGTTGAGAAAATGGGGTATAAATCTTCATTTTGGAGGCAATTAAAGTGTTGATTTCATTCATGCCCCTAAGCGATTCTTGTAATTTGCTCAAATAGCTTTATGTATCCAGCACTCCTGAGCCTTTAGAATCCCATTTTCTAGTTAGGCCTGTTGGATTACAATTTTTATTCAACAGCAGCTACCCGAGGGTTCCTCAGCGGAATCTGCATTTAACAGCTTGGGGGGCGAGGGCTGGAGCTGAAGCAGGCGGGAGGGCCGGGCTGCCAGCGGGCCGCGCACGGACAGGCCGGTCCAGCAGCCGCCTGCACGTTCCCCATCTCCGCAGGCCACGCCAGGATTTCGCAGGCTGCCCGTTTTGATGCACTCATCTACACTGCTGAAAGTTTGCAACTTGCCAATAGTAAGGACCCCGCGCGTTGGGGCTTTTAAAACTCAGCTCTGCCTGCCCTCCTTTCCTCATGGAGAAAGGAGGGTTCAGCCTCTGACACGGTGTTCTCCAGAAAAATCCAAGCTGGGGATTTTATTTTAAAGGGTGACGCTGAGAGAAGAAAACTTTAAGATGACACCAAGACCTAGTAGTCGGCACTCGGGCAAAAACTCCGCAAAATAGCCGCCGCCGGTCAACAGTGATGTGGCGGAGCTTACAAAGGAAAGCAGCATGATTGGCTGTCCTTTGGCTTAACAAAGGCAGGCTGATCTCTTCCCCCAAGACGGGACTCACGTGCCAAGTCAGAAAGAGAAACAACTCTTGGGCCTCCACTTATACGTGGAGAGGCGGAGGAGGCCCGCAACCCAAATCTCTAGACGCGTTGCAACAATTCGCAACGGAGAGCTGTCCTGAGCCCTGTATTATCCCACCCACTCCTCATGTTTTCACTTTCATGGCATTTTTGCAACTCCTTTGGACCAATCCAGAGACACAGCGACTGCACAGAGAAAGAGACACTGGAGCAAACTGTGGTGGTAGGGTGAGAGAGGGAGAACCCCCCACCCCCACCCCCAGCAATCCAAATAAAAGTCATCCCCGCTTAGCAGCGCAGCGGAAGGGCCTGGGGGGAGGGGAGGAGGGGGGGGAGAATGGGAGAGGAGGGGGCGAAGCGAGCAAAGGCCGGCAGCTGAGAGCCAGGGCGGCGCGAGGTCCCCCCACCCGTCACACAGAGGGAGTCGCTGAGGTGCCCCTGATGCTGACACTTCCAAAAGCTGCCAACCCAGAGGGCCCAGAGCACGTACCAGCTGGAGGTTGGGTGGAAAGGAGGAGGAGGAAAGTCCATATTTATCTGTTTTTATACCCTCGGCCTGGTCTTATTTTTTCTATGACGTACAATAAAATGGGCGAGCTTGCAGCGGGCACTGCACAAAGCAATGTTCAGTGAGGTCTAGAAGCGTTCGGCCGAGGAAAACTGACAAGACAGGCTAATGAACCGTATAGACAGGGATAAAATAGCCAGCATTTGCTAGATTTCAAACCCTGGCTGTCTTTCTTAGACCACCTATCTTGGGTTTATTCCTAATAAAATAAGAAATAAGCAGACCCTACACTTTCCTTTTCTTCAAGATAGAAGAGGGGGGGAAATGCTCCAGAACAAAGCCCTACAATCAGAGACGGTCACTGGCAGTTAACACTCCCATTATTATAGAGGGTAAATAAAATAAAGACAAAAATTAAAAGCGACAAGAAACAGGTCAAGTTTGCAGGCAAAGCTTTTACAAGCTCATCTCTCCAGGTCGAATCCCAGAGCCAGCCTTAATGAAGCAATAATAGCCACATTATTCAAAAATTTTCATTTCGATGGAAATGTATCTAAAAGGGACTTAATCATATGCAAATAATAAAAGGAGGTGGTAGTGACCCAGCAAGCAATATGCATACAGATTTTTTTTTCCCAGGGATGTTGAAATAGAAAAGCACCTACCTGGTCGGTTAGATTTGCTGATCTCGTTATATCTTCACTGTCTGATTTTGATCCCCCTTCTCTGTCGTCTATCACCAAATCGATAGGCATTTTCCCTTTCAAACAGCTAATATACCGGTGGCAGAAATTGTCACATAATTCGTGTACCTACATTATGACAGAAATACAAAAAATGGAAATATAATCAGGAGTGCATAAATGACATTTGACAAGTGCAATCCACCCCCCTTGTGAGAGCCAAACTTCCAAATAGGGGAAACACAGGGCAATTGTCCTCCAGAGACCCCCAGACGCATCCAGAATTAGGAATAACTTTCTTTTCTTGCAAAATAGAGATATCCCAGAAAATTGACAGTGACAAGATGATTCACAGGCTACAACATATTCAACACCCGTGTTAAATTCATCCGCTCCCGGAGCTGTGGCCATTAGAGAGGTGACCTGCGTGGGTGACATTTAAGGTACACTATTTAATTTCATCCAGTTACTTTATCATAGGTCTTTTTCCAACGTGCCTAAGGGGGAAAAAAATGCATGTATATATAATCTCCAAAGGACCAGAACTGTGGTGGCATAGGATATATGCCTGACAACCCAGGTCTCTATAACGTTTGTAATTAGGGATTCTATCCATAAGAAGCATATTTTAGGCTACTTCCCTTAAAAAAGGGAAGGAAATTAAATCGCCAGTACTCATGATGTGAAAAAAACTTACAGCCACAAAAATGTATCAAATTGATTTTTTTTAAAGAAAAAAAAAGGAAAAAGAATGCTTCAAAACATTTAGGTGTAAGTGGAATGGTCTCTTACAGGCCCCAGGCATCACTGAGATGCAGAATTCACAAGAAGCAGCCCCAGTGTGCTTGCAATTTAATGTTAGTTTGAATTACAATGCATTAAGTTTTTATTGGTGAGATTTATAGAACAGCTAGCAAAATCCTGTTATCCCACACCCTTTCTTGAGTGTGAAGGTGGGGTGTGTGCAGGATTCGCAGATTCAAGAAATCTGACACAACCATCAACTCTGCTTTGTCTCTGCAAAACGTTTAATGTGTCTCCCCCACCACCTCCTCCAGACTCCCAGTCCAATCCTCCTCCTCCCCCTCCACCTCTCCTCTGTGCCTGACCCGCCGCTGCTCTCAGACTGTCTTCCAGAAACTCACTAAAACTAAACAAAACTCCCCCCTCCAGAGGTATAGCAAAGAAGAAGAGAAGAGGCCACAAAGGTATATAACCTATGAAGCAACTCACAGCAGCATTTTAAACTTCAACAGGGATGCATAGAAATTGCAACTATTTATACAAAGCCAGCAAGGTATTAAGAATGAATACAAAGCTAGGGCGTTTGTGATCCCGGCTTTAGTAGCTGAAATTGTAATTAAACTGCAAAGAGAAATGGACGCTAAGATTGGCCTTGACACTAATTACTAGAAAGAAAGACATTTATGCAAATGTCTCAGAAGCCTGAACTTCAGCCATTCTGAACCCTCCCCCCACCCTGTGTATTTGGGGGTGAGGGGGTAAAAGCAAAAGAGTCTAGGGAAATTACCTTCTCTAATTCCAACAGATGAAACCTTAATACTTGTATGGCTTGAATCATCTGCAAAGATACAAAAAGAATGAGAACCCCATTCCTAGTTTGCAGAAAACTGGCTGTCACAGCACTAGCATCTCCGGCCCACCCCCTCCCCCAGTAAACAGAGTTATTTTGATTTATGGCAATAACACTAAAACTTAATAGCAGCGATTGGGTACCATCTAGAGGTTTATATTTCTTAAGGAGAAAAAAATAGCTAAATAACAACAAAGCATCTAAATGGGGATCATAAACACTCTCTCCCCCATGGTTCTCTCCTTTTTCTCAGCCCCACTGCCCCCACCGCACCCCCAAAGGGCCACATCCCTGGACTAGATGTTTCCTTGGAAGGTGTGCAGGGAAAATAGTCAAAATAGTCCCCCAATTGTGGCTTTCCGCACTGCCAACTTTCTGCTGCCTTTCGCACACCTTTCAGGCAAACGGGTGGCTTGGGGGCTCGTGTCGGGTCGCTGCCCTCGTGATGCGACTTTGAGGGCTGGGAAGTCCACAAAGTTTAAGCACACACGCTGACAGGCCCGGAGATAAATCCCCGCGCTGATTAGAGCTGCGCTACCCGGCTGTCATAAAAAACAAAAGCTCGCGTTTCCCCCGCGCCGCTCGCCCGGCCCCTCTCCAGATAAATTTATTTCCCGGGAATCTTGTCCCGGACCACTTGTCCGTGGACGCAAACATTTGCAGCCGACCTGCAGCGAAGGGAAGACCCGTCTACAAACCTCAGGGCTCTCAAAGCAAAGTTGGGGGGGGGGGCTTAGGGAAGGGGAGCTCAGGGAGGGGAGTAATGGGTCGGCTCTTACCAAGTTATCCAGTTCGGGATTAGAAGAAAATAGAGGTTTTTCTGCGCGAATCTAAATACAAGTGAGGAGAGGGAAGAGGAAAGAGGGAAAAGAAAGAAACATTTGAAATCTGGTCGCCTTCCTAGTGTCTTGCCTCATTACACTGTCGGGGGCAGTATGTAACCTCCGGGAGGGTCTCGGTGTCACCGAGTTCGTCCCGTGCAGAGACCCTTCAACGTGAATCAAATAAGCCGAAAACAAGCCCAGAGCTCAAAGTGACTTCTACCAGCAGCTACGCTTCTAGAGGACTCTGCCCAGCTCGCCAAGTCCAAGGCAGCTCCAGCGTGTGGTGTTGGTGATTTTATTTTACAGAGGGAGCTTTCTGCGTTAGGCTATGGAGCTGGGAAGAATATGGGCGATTTTGAGTCGCCCGCAAACGGACACCCATAAAGGAGGGGAATCTCAGGGTAGTTGTCACAGGCATGGCTTAGGATGTACTATTTGCTGGATAATCTTGCAAATATGCTGGGTGGGAAGGAGGGAGGTCCCTTTTTATTTTCTTTTACTTTTTAAACATTTATTTTGCTGACCTGTTTGGCGAACACGGCTATATCTTCATTGAATGATTCTGACGAGCAGACGTCCCCGCCCGCCACCCCCGGCTCGCGGGGGGTACAAGTAGCTAATTCACATTTCTCAAAAATCAGTGCTAAGAGAGGGAAGAGGGGGTGTCTGCAAGAAAATACAACAGTCACAAACAACACAATGGTTAGTCTGGAGTCAGGGAAAAAAGGCGCCCAAGAAAAGCAGCCGGAGGAGCTGAAGGCAGGGACCCCCCTCCCTGATTTTGTCATCTACTGTTTTCCTCCCCCCACCCCCCAGCCAGGTGACTGCTCACCTCCCCTTCCTCCTAGGGCCCCGAAGTCGGAGGCCCTAAGCCACGGCCCGTGCCTGAGGATCGGTTCAGCGTATCTGGCCGGAGAAATTGGTAACATTTGCTACGAATAAACCCAAGCGGTTCCAGCAGCCATTTTGAATTAAGTTTCCCACCCGACAAGCCCTCGCCCCTCCGCTGCGCATCCAGGACCTGGAGGAGGAGAAAGGTGCAGGGCGGAGGGGCTGGGAGAGCTTGCTCCAGTGGGCTCTTCCAAGGCTGCCTCGCGAAGCCCCAGGCTGGGGATCTCGGTGGCAGGCGCTCAGCTAACTTGGGGAAAGGACGTCTATGGCTGCGAAACCGGCTGTCAGGGGGCTGCACCTACCGATCCCCACCCCACGGCCCTCAGAGAGCAGGGAGGCGCCTCTTTGGCTTCCTGTGCAATCCCTCCCTTCGCCGATGGCCCCCACCATCCCCAAAATAAAGTTCCTTCCAATGGTCCTGCGGGAAAGCCTTTCATTTTGTCTCTGCGAAACGGCAAAGCAGCTAGTACTACGAGGGGCCTAGATGTCCTTATTTCAGCCCATAAAAGCAAAAAAAAAAAAAAAAGCTTCTTCTAATGCCCAAGGAGGTGTCTCAAGTCTTTTATTAGCTCCCACAGCCCCAGCTGGGAATTTAACAGTTTGGGGTCCTTTTCAAAGCTTCCCCAAATGTTCTGTCCCACAGCCTAAACCATTTGCAGCTAACACTGCAGAGAGAACGCTGGGGTTTAAACAAGCCTATCGCACAAGGGACCAGAAAAATAGAGCAAGAAAGGGTGTTCAGCTGGGGGAGGATCTGTATTGCATTTTTTTTTCAAAATAAGAAATAAAAGTTGCTGCAAAGTCAAAAGAGGTCCCCAAATTCATCAGCACACAGTAGGCACAAGTGACTTTCAAAGGCTTTTGCTAGTCCAGGGTCTTAATCGAATGGCCGGCAGAACACGGTGTGTGAACCGCAGCCAGAAAACAACACGGCCCATAGCACCCCGCATCAACTTCTAAATCCTTCAGGTTTCGCCTTTGATCACAAAGTACTAAAACGACTAGAAGTTTCTTAATGTCTGTAACAATTCCGATGGAGCTCCTCTCCTTGACTACAGTGGTCCAAACTCCCTAAATGCAAAGCTTGTTCCCCTTGCCTGACCTGCAACTGTCCTTTCTTGGTTTTATTGTGCGATGGCAGAGCCAGCATACGGTTACTGAGTAAACTTAGCAAGTCAGAACAATCAGTGGCTTAAAAGATTTTCCCTTAAACTAAAAGTTTCGTTCCAACACAAAGGCGCCTACATTTAGAAACCCCCAACGCGCTCTCAGCGCAGTGGAGCGAGCCAGGACTCCCAACTCGCTGAGCTACCGAGCCTGGGTCTGGGAGGGGACAAGGGACCTTGGGTAACTTTTGCATGGCGACCCCTTCGCGGGCACGGCCTCGGTGGAGCGGGGCACCGGGCTGGCACGGAGCGTGTGTGGAGAGGGGGGCGTCCAGGATGGCAGGCCGCCTACCAAAATTCTCCTTGCAATGCGAATGAAAAAATCACCAAGTAATGTACCTCCAATCCAGAGAACTCTGGCTTTCCCCTTACCAAGGGCAAAGGGAAACAGGGAAGCACCGCGTTTCATCTATTTAACCAGCTGCCCATTGTACCTACCCATAAATGGCATCTTTATCTCTCTTTAAAGCGTCATTGACGGAGGAACCCATGCTGGGGGCCATGGCGTTGGTGTGAGCTGTGTGCGGGTACTGATGCGAGTGGAGAGGAGGCCCGTGGTTCAGGTGGTGGACCGGCTGCATGGACCTGGCCGCATGCGGGTCCCCATACATCGTGGAGGGGATGCCTACTCCATCCATGCCCCCGTAATGGGGCAGATCGTCGTACTGCATGGCAAACAGAGAACAAGGTTCAGAAGGCCAGGCGGGCAAATGGGGGAACGGCAGGGCACGGAGCTTATATAATGTCAGTCCAGCCGGATCCTTCAACCTGGAATTCCATGGCCTTGCATCTCCAAAGTTGAGATTTCTTCTTTTAAAAAATAATTTTAAAGTACAAATTATAGGATTCTTGGTGAGACCCGGCTAGGATGAATGGTCATGCCCTAACTTGTGTCCCTATCAACTAGTTCAGAAATTCAGAATCCTTTAGCAAGGAAGGAAGGAAGAAGGAAAGAAAGGGAGGCAATCCTCCCGGAGGGTGGAAGGTAAAACGAGCATGTCTCTAGAGGAGGAAATTCAAAATCACAACAATAAAACGTGCTAGGACAGTGCAGCAAACCTGCCTAGTTTCGCAGCCCCTTCCCATCAGGGAGAATTTTTTAAAAAGTTACGATGGGAACAGCTACGCCAAGCACGTGAATTCAGACAGGCTTCTCATTTTATTTCCCTGCCAGCGAGGGGTTAGGTCCTGCAAGACACTGCACAAACTCTGCTAAATTATACAAAACTAACTGGCACCCTTATAAGTGAAGCTCAGAGAAAGGTAGCTTTTCTTGTACATTAGAGCTGAATTTAGAATTGGGCAATTTTCACCCCAATGTTAAAGAAAATCTATAGTTGTAAGTTAATTCTATTTTCTTTACTCTTACGAACTTTCTTCCCGGACTAGAAGTTAATGGGGCAAATGTTACTCATCAGGTTTAAACTTAAAGCAAATTCAATAGCAAACACCCATACAATCCCTCACCCATCTTTTTCCTCCAGAAGAACTATTTTCATATTGATTGTCATTATTTTTGTGTGCGAAATTTAACAATTTAGATTTTTCTCATTGGTTCATTCCAGGCAAGTTTTTTCTCCCCTCAAGATTTGAGGCATCAAGAGTGAAATGATTTTCAAAGAAAAGAGGAATTGCCACTTTCATCTCCTTAGAGCCAGAGGTGTGAAAAGAGTTTGGAAGAACACTGACATTTGCCTGAACCAAAGGAGTAAAGAAAAATGTGTCAGCCTAGTAACTTTCTTTTGCAAACAGGGCTTTGAGGGCCAGGACACAAATTATGCAAGGAAGGCTTTTTGTAGACCTCCCTTTCTTTTAAGAAACTACCTCAGTTGGGTTGTCATTGTCTCACTTTACTCTCACTACATTACCATTCAAATAGGAATATTGGGGAAATTAGTATTGCATTTTAAAAGTGAGTAGCTGTGTGCTCAGTATCCAATTAGTGCAGGGCTTGTCTAAGAAAAACTTTCAAAGTATTACCTTGCATAAAAATCCATTGCACATTAAAATTACTTTTAAAAGATGAATGTTTTCCGATCCAAAAAACCATTGTACTATGGCAAAGTTACTTGCCTAAAAAGCTAAATACTTCTAATGATATTAAAGATGAAGGTAATCAATAACATAACAGAAGTTTCTAGCTGCTTATTTTAGTTTAAAAATAGCTCTAAACTTCTGCTCCCTGACGCTCACATTATAGCATTAGGCATCTAGCTTTTTTTTTTTTAAGATGATTGCCCGAGCTTGTATTTTTATTTATATAGCTGCTGGTTTGGAATCTACAGAAAAACTTTATTACTAGAATTAACAATTACATGTAACATACATTAGTCTACAAACGCATTGAATAAATACTCTCGCTTTAGGCCAGGCTTTAGGAGCCTTGTTTAAAAAGACAGAAAAAAGGAAACTTTTTAGCAGTGTCTTTCAGCCACATTTCAATTTAATCTTACATTTGAGTTCCACAATTGTTTTTTAATACGTACCCTTTGCGCCATCGGCCTCCCTGGCTCCCTTCCTACTTCAACTTCTAATATATCCTCTTTAAGGCCAGTGTGAAAAGAAACAAATAAGCAAACTCCCCCGGAAAAAAAATTTTTTAAAGCAGGATGCAAAATCCTTAACGTCTCCAGCAACGTGAGCTACTAGTCCCAGGTCTTCGGTCTACCGGACCTGAAGCCAAGCGCCGGAGTCACTGAGCATAAAAGCGCTCCGTTTCCAAGACAGCAGCGGGAAGAAAAAAAAAGAAAAAAAGAAAAAAAAAAGGCAAAAAAAAAAAAAAGCAGATCTTCTCTCCCCAAAAAATCAGTTTAAAAAAAAAAAGGAAAAAAAAAAAAAAAAAAAGAGCGCCCCTCAGACCCAACTACCAAATCTCATGGCTTTCTGCCACTCCGGCTGTCAATCACAGGCGAGGTTGTCAACGTGGTGAATGAATGATCATCCGTTCTGTCTTCTTCTGGTCAGAACACCTCAAATGTTAATATTCAAATGCACAAAGCCCTAGCGCTCGCTTCCCTTGAATCAGTCCTAATTCTTAATCAGTTTCTCTCTTCTGTTGCTCGCTCTCTCTTTCTCTTTCTCTCTCTCTCTCTCCCTCTTTGCAACTGCTGCACTGGAGGGAGATTAGAGGAGGAGGGTTAAAAAAAAAAATGTCTGTCTGAGTTTGTCTTAAAGGAGCCACAATCGATGCTGCCCGCTTGCAGTCCCCGTGCGTGTGTAAAGTGTGTGTTGCACAGGCGGAGAGGTGGATTCCGACCAGAATGCTAGAACCCGGAAGTAGTGGTGGCCATAACAGGTCGCGTCTTACACAATGCATTGGGCTGCAGCAAGTAGGCTCCTCGGCAGGGGTGGGTGCGCGATGCGAGCTCTGGCCGCACTGGAGAGGCAGAGAGGCGCTCCATTAAATCGCACGCCCAGGCACAAACACCCACACACCCAGGGCACACGCGCACAAACGCGGCCAACAGATCCCAGCCGCCAGCTTTATTTTCCGTATTCTTTTCTCTCCCTCCCCCTCCAGACTGTCTCCCCAAAGCCGACACTTGAAATAAATTGGGAATAAACGCGGGGCAGGCAGTAGCGGGAGTTATTTTGCACAGGGCTCCGCTCATAGCCTTCATGACTTTCCTCGAAATTATTGGGGTCTGCCAGTATTTTTCGGGACGGAGGGGGTGATGCAGAAAGTACTGGATTCTCAGGACTACACACCCCAAGTCGAAAAGTCAAACAGGGAGCGGGGAGGAGGAGCAGGGGCAAGGTTGGGAACAGCTCTGCTAAGGAGCCCCGAGAATGTGGGGTAGAGATGGCTGGGGATTTCTGCAGATCCAGCTTAGTTTTTTTTGCTGTCAGAGATGGACACCCGGCCCAAAGAAAGGAAATGCTTGCCTTTTCTCACTTTAGGGGGCTGGACGCCCCCACATCCAAGCCCCGGAGGCCCCCAGCCCCAGCCCCAGCGTCCTGCGCGAAGTGAGAGAGGAAGGGAGGGAACAATAAGCTGAGAGCCGGGAATGTGCCCCCAGCGCCTGTTTACAAACACCGAGCTATTTATGAACGCCGGAAAGCGAAACCCGACGCGGGCTCGGAGCGGCCCAGACTTCGCGGGCGGAGCCGGGGCCGGGGCGCCGCGGGGAGGGAGGCTCTTTTTCCGATCCGCTCGGGACAAGGCGGCCGTGCGCCCAGGGCGCGGCGCGGCGAGGCCAGAGAGTTCGGCTAGGGCTACAGCCGCGCCGCCTTTGTCTTCGAGGCGCCGAGGGGCTCCGGCCGCGGCCGTGCCGGGGCCTGGATGGACCTGGCGCCCCCAGCTTTTCCCTGGCTACGCCCCGCGCTCTCCTCCCCAGCACCCTCCCCACCACCACTCCGCTTTCCTGTCCTCAACCCGGCTCAGGGAAAACTCCCAGTGCCGAGGTTTCAGACAAAAAGCTGCCCCTATCCACAACTCGGAGGATCCAGCCAACCACTGATTTTAACTTTCTCCCTTTAAATACCTATTCTCTGGCTTAAACAAAAAAGTCCCTTTTCTTTATTCTCCCACTCTAAACTTGCCCTTTAGTATTATATTTGGTGGTATTATTTTCGTTTTTATTTTTCAGTCCGCCCGACTCTGATCTGCCGAGTTGGCTCAGCCGCAGGAGCTCCACCAGTCGGGTGGAAACCTCACATCTCCGAGCAGGGCTCGCAGCTCGCTTGGCTCGTAGCAGGATTTTTTCCCCCTCCCTCCAGCTGAAACCTCGCAAAAAACTCCCCCTGCGGTCTATTGGAAAATGAGCTCACCCAAATCTCGGTAGGCAGCCGCGGAGGAGGGCTCGGCCAATCAGGAGGCGCTCCCGCCAGGGCGGCCGCGCATTGGCTGCGGGGAAAATCAATTATCAAATAATCGATCAGCAGGGAGCTTCGATCTGCGGGGAATGCAAACTGCCAGTCCGGATTCCCGCCCTGATGGTGGCCAAAAGGCTGACTCTCCCAAAGCAGCCGGCCCCTGGCGCCCATCGCCCCCCACCTTCATCCCGCCAGCTGCACACCGAACCGTCACCCCGAAGGGGGAGGTGTATGCAAGGGGAAGAGTTTTGAGCAAGATTAGGGGGCTCCTGTCCTCAGGGATTGTTTGGAAACGGTTATGAGCTCTAAAATGTATTGAAGCTCTTAAATGCGCAAAGTAAAAGAATTTGCATCAATCCGAGAGGTAGGGCTCAAGTTTCTGTTAAGTGGGCTCTCGAGGAGCAGGGGACACAAGGAGAGCATCAGAATAGAGGTCTGGAATCAGGTTCCACCAAGCGCACGTAGCCTCCCTAAACGACATCTATTGCTTCTTTTACTACTTAGCACGAATCATCGCCCAGTTCCTCCCAACAGTGGAGTTCTCGTGAAGCAGAGCAGCTGGGTCTTCCCAGCCTCCCGCACACCACCCGCGCCTCGACACCGTACTCGTCCCTTATGTGCCTCAAGAGCTGACACACGTTCACCCAGAGTCTCAGATGCGCTTTGCCTTGAAAGAGCTCCGACTGTTTAAAAAGCTCACCCTAGGATCCCTCCAGTGCTTCTCACTGTCTCGTGTCTGTCTGTCTCTCTCGCTCTCTCTCCCCACCTCCTTCGCGCCCCCCCCCCAAGTTTTAGGATCTTTTACTTTTTTCCATCACAAACACGTGTAGCTTTCTGGCACAAACGCCGCGATACATCACGCTGGAGGTTAAGGCAAGCCCGCGTGTCAAAGCGGAGGGGATCCAGGTGAATTACCAGCGTCTTTACACCACTGCCTCACACACACACTCCCCCCTCCCCATGAACTTGGAAGCAGAATTTCAGGCCAAGATGGAACCTCCCCGTCTCAGGAAGGCGATTTCTCTGTTTATTTCTTGGGAAACTGCGCTGGCTGGGCCAGGCAACGCAATCCTTTTCCGATTACCGAGAGGACCAAACTGGGCGGGCAGCAGGCGAGCCCTTTCCCAAACCCCAGCCGGCCGCGGCCGACACCTGAGCGCCTTCGGAGGGCTGCTGGCGGGGGCAGGAGTACAGTCTCTCCAGCAGGCCCGCCAGGCATCCGCGTGGCTGGCGGTAGGGGGACCCGGAGGGGGGAGGTCAAGCCAAATCTCGACATGGGTATATCTACGTTTATGATGTTTAAATGAACTTCGAGGAAAACTGTGTAAGTATAATTTAACCGAGAGAAATTTCCTGCGAAATACATTTCGATGACCATAGACTTTTAACAGCCGGCGTGGAGTTACCTCAACTCTGCGGCCACATTTTCAAATTTGGAAAAGGCCAGTTTGGGGTTTTAAAAATATTATAATTTATTTTGTATTGTTTTCCGGTAATTTTTTTTTCTAGCAGAGACGGGGGAAAGAACGTTCAGGTAAGTCACTCCTTTTCAAACAACCAAACATTTCAAAGCATTAGAAAGATTATTGTACTCTTCAACCATGATGTATCAGATTACCTTATAAAAGTACTTTAAATTACCTACATATAGATTTTCCTTGAAGAAGGAGATAGTTTGAATTTTGTGGGCTTAAAGTAAACTTTTAGTAGTTTCAAAAAGTGTCTGGTTTCTCCCCCCCTTTTCCATTTATAACAACCTACTGCTTCTCCTAGGCCCTTATAAGATTAATTCTGAACAATCAAGGGACTAAAACACTTTTACAATGTAATTACAGTAGTACAAATTGTTTGCCCAAATCTCATTCTGGATAAGGATTTTACAATTAGCAAACAGTTATTATAGTTGGGGCTTGCTGAGAGAAATTGCACAGAGGATGTCTAGAGTTGCAATCTAGTAGCCATAAAAAAAACCCCTCATTTAGCAGGGCAGCAATTAATCACCTATTAAAAGGAAAAGGTAAAAGGATAGTTCTAGGTATCTTAGTAAGTAAACTAGCGCCGATATTTCATACCTGTTCTGGGACAGCACCTATCTTTAGCTTATTTCAGATACTTGCTTTTTAAGGCAATAGCACTTTTATCTTGGGAAAACTTGGCCTGGTGAAGGGTTCTGGCACTTGCCCCTGGTTCTTGCTCATGGGTCTTCCACACTCAGCTACCCTTCATATACCAGAGTATCTTCCCACATTCGGAGAACAGGGACTTTAAAGAGGCAGCCTGGAGCCTAGGTCTCTATTGTTTAGACCCTCCTGCAAGGAGGCATTTAAAGTAAGTGGTGCCCCTTTAGGTTGTTGGTACAGTCCTGTCTGAGAACTCCCTCCTTATTTTCTGTTCTTTTATAAAGAATTGTGCCTTTGGAAAGACCTATATCCTGAGTTAGGCTTTTTTGTCCCAAAAGTTTACACTGGTGAGTCAGCTCCAAAACCCTCAGAAATTAAAGAGGCAACTCTTTAAGGTGAAAAGTGTGTGTATTTGCCAGCCCAGAATAAACAAAAGCCTGTTAATCAGTGGAGTTTGGCAGCTGTGTTCACAGGATGATAAGGGTTTATCATCTGCCACCTAACTTTAAGATGCCTGTGAAAATGTGATCGCTCTTTCAGTTGCCCTGTTGCGTGGAGGCTTGGGGTTTGTACTTCAAGAGCATTCATCCTCAGCATCTCACCCTCGCATTCGCATTTACATTTCAAAAAAACAAAAATAAGAGGAGGGAAAGACAGTTTAAAGAAAATAGATTTTAAATCTAGTAGAGATAATAGAGGAATGCTGGAGATAAGAGCCTGTTTGTGATATGAGAAAGGTACCAAGAAGTCAAAGCTAATGAATGGCTGTGAGAAAAGTGAAATAAACTATTTAGAGGTCTATAAAAGAGAGAAACCTGGTTAGGTGATATGAGAGAGGGGTTAACTGAGGGGATTAAGGAAGACGTTAATCAAGTGCCCCAAAGCAATCTGGGCTCTAAGAACTGGGAGATTTGTTTACTGCATTTTGCTTCAGAAAACAAAGAATGTCTGGGTCCAGTTCAGAAGTCACTGAGAGGTCAGCTTAGTCTCTCCAACTGTTGAAGGGGCAATACCTAAGTCACTATATTCTGACTGGATAATGCAAAAGTTAAGGGGGAAAAAAGGGGGGGAAGGGAGTGTTTTCCTTTACTATCTTTTCTATTTCAAATCATTAAAATGCTTTGGTCTCTAGAGGGGGAAAAATTACACTGGTTAACATAATTACTAGCTCTGACATTTTCTGAAGTTATAGAGGTCTTTTATTAATTAAATGGAGGGCTTAATAAAATATTCCTAATAAAATTTATGGTTGTCTTAAAACTTTCTAAACAGTGCTATAAATTCTTAATAAAATTAACTGGGAAATGAGTTATTGGCCCACACTTTACCCTCCCCCCCTCCTTTTACATAAAGAGCATCTGCAGAATGAAAATGGAAATAGAAGCCTTTTGGTAAAATATAAATATTAGCCAGAG